ATTCTCAAAGTGGTGCCTTCAATTCTGAAAGTGGTGCCTTGAGACAAAAACTGAACACAGGGCTGCACATGACCCTTCGTGGCTGCTCATGCTTTTTTTGTATACAAAATCCCTCACAAGTTCTCTGCGCAAACTGCCTTCTTCCGAATCTTCCATGATCGCGAGCACGGCCGCGAATGTCGCGAAGCGTGGGGAGGGGAGCTTTCCATCTGGTGCAACAAAGGGCCGGCCGCCATGTGACGGCAAACTGACTGATCCCACTGATGCCAAGACCTTGGGACCAGGCATGATGGCATGAAACACCCCACAAAAGAAAAGTTACCAGGCAAAACAGTGTCTGGTGGTGGTGGCCTTTGCGTTTTTGGTTTTGTTTCAGTCGCTCAGCCCGATGTCAAAAATCATCCCTGAAGCCTGGCTTATTTCTGTCATCCTACTGGACCGAATCTAGAGATCAAGCAACGAATTCTGTCTTGAAGTGGTCCAAGAAGAAAGCCGCCTGAGACTCATTGAGGCCACCAATGCGAGTGCTGTATGTCAGAGAAAAGTCCTTGATGCTAATCCGCTTCGGAAGCTTGGTCTCAAACTCAGACTCCTTCTCTGATTTCTTCTTTTTGTCCTTTTTCTCTCGATCCTTGAGAGGCGTGAACTCAAAGTTTCCTGGCACCACTGTCGCAGGGCCAAAGCCGCGGCATGAAGACAAAGTGACTGCGTCCATGCTTGTGGTGTGGGCGCCGTGTGCTCCACAGAGTGGCTGTGAACCACAAGACTCACAGAGCTCACAAAACACAACTGGTTCCAAACAGTTCAAGTAACAAGGAAATCAATCAAAATGCCAGAAGCTGACCACTCACAGAGTCAAAGGTTGCAACCACTCACAGAGTCAAAGGTTGCAACCCCGAGGACACAACCGGCCCCACATGATTTCCGGCCTGGTGTTCCAAACTTCGGAGCCCTGGCCGTGTGGGACCCGGAAGCAGACCGAGGAAACATAACTGCGGAACGATCACAGCCATGGTGTTCTGTGCTTGAGATTATCTTCACTCACACCCTGGCCTCGACCCGGCCCTCCACAACAAAACAAAGAAAAACACACACTCTGACATTTGTTTTCTGTTAACTCAATTCCCAGGACAAATGGCGATGGAACCGAAAGGTGGAAGGGTCGGAGCACTTGAAGATGTTTCAAAAATGGTTTTTTGCACATCTGCAGTTCACAAACGCGCAGCAGCTGAAAGCGGCGGAAGGAAAAAGGTTTAGGGGAAGTATCATGGAACCACCATGGAAACAAACGTTCAAAAAAGTCGCAGGTACGCCAGACTGATCAGGTCTGGTTTCACTGCCAATTGCAAGCGTCTTTGTTGGCAGGAGATTTGCAATGGCACTCCTGCCCCCTGCAGAAGTTAAAAATCCGGAAAACGACTCAAAAGGAGACCCTTAGGTACAGGGGTTGACACACCAAGCATCCTAACTTGATAGGCGACACGCAGGCTTGGGAGTATCTGTGGTGCTCTTGACCGCCCTGCCCACAACCAGAGTTAAGAGCACCAGGATTAATTATCCTGGCGCTCTTAACTGTGACCACAATCCCAAAAGTTGGAGGCCGTGACACAAAATAGAAGTTAAAGGTGCCACGGACTAATGCTGCAGCAAACACAGATCTACCGGCAAACCGGTTAAGAGCATCAGGATTAATTATCCTGGTGCTCTTAACTCTGGTTGTGGGCGGGGCGGTCAAGAGCACCACAGACATCTGACTCCACATGATTTCCCGCCTGGGGTTTCAGGCTTCAGAGGTGGTGGCCTTGGTAACCACAAGTTCACTGACAGAATTGAAGAACACCTGCGCAATATGTCCAATGATTTTCTTTCACCCCCACATGGCATGCTGACTGGATACTTTTTTCTGTGGCCACAGCGCCCCACGCTCTAGGCCTCATGTGCTCTGGGAAACAAAGACATGGCTGCCCTGCCTCAAACTACTGAGCTTCCAAACAAGAACCCTAAACACAGTTCTATTGCTCATGGTTCGCCAAAATGAGAGCAGCTAGCTCTTTGCAAAGCTGCTGGGGATACTGGCCACTCCACACGGTCTTGCGAAGCCCATGTGCTGAATGGCGCCCGCTGAAATGCCCTTCCAAGCGGGCATGTTTGGTCCGCCTCGTGCCCTGGCAAACACAGGGACGAAGCAAAGACTGCAAATTTCGATTCGACATGAACCCCTGGCACTTCTGGATTGGACGCCCGCTGTCTGGGCAAATCATTCCCCACGCACAAGAAGGGAAAACAAAGCGCTGAAACCTTCCAGTCAGCAAGTGCTTGACCTCTTTCACTTCCCAGGAGGCAGCCCTCTTTGGCTGTTCGAAGCTCGCTGCCCGGCCTTGCCGGTCTTGCTCGTCACAGACATGTGCCGCAAAGGAAACTTGTGCCGTGGCATCTTCTTGCAGGCTCTTCCATTCTTCAATTTTTCTCCGGGCCGTGAGTCTGCCAAGTTGTGTCCAATATCGACAATCTGGGGCCGCATGGACCCATTCAGGTTCAGTCTCACAAAGCAGGGCCATAACCAACGTCTGGCCAGCGCTGGATGTCAAATCAATGCGAAGTCTGGGCAAGGAGTCAGGGTCGCCGATGGTAGAACCAATTTCTTTGCTGTCCACCCCTGGGCCGACCACAGCCCCAGGTGGGGCCTTGCGCAACACAGCCGAAGTCAAATTTCCCGAGCCACACAAAAGTTCGACAAACAACCAGCGCTCGCCAGCAGGACGCCCAATGAGCTGCAGCGCGCTTTGAGTGACGGCCCTTGGCAAGGCAACCAGAACCTTGTGCTCTTCTTCAAAGTCGCAATCCCTAAGAGCGTCCTCTAAAAGATCCTCTTTCAGTGCTCTCTTCCACCTCCCACCTTCCCCATCCAACACACGCCTTCTCTTTTTCTTTGGTTGGCTCGTGGTGTCTGTGGGCGACACACAATCAGGACACCCAGGCGCAAAGCAAGAACATGTGTTTTTGGTCGTTTTGGGGGGGGCCATCTGTCAAAGGAGGTGGGCTTGGCTGGCTCGTGCTTTGCTGGCAAACAGGGCACGAAGGCTCAAAGCATGAGCAGGCTGGCAGCTTTAGTGGCGGCACCCCACCCATGACACTAGACTTTTCTTTGCCGGCCCCCTTTGCGAAGAACCACTGCGGCTGCTCCAGTTCCATAGCAACCGCCTCCTCAAGGTATTGATAGCCCAGGCTGCGATACAACGCCTCGGCAAACATTGGTCCAAAAACACCATGCCTGTTGAAGTTCAGGGAGGGAAAAAAATGAAGGAAAGGTGTGACCTTCAGCCTGAAGGTTCCTGGTGGGCCATGGTTACCTACAAAAATCAGCCAACACAACTTTAGCCCCATAGAAGGACCAAGGGTTGCAGAAATATTCCTGCGAAACAGGTGGTATGTCTGGATATCCTAGGTGGACATGAGGAGCTTTGTCGGGGCCTTACATGTCCTCCTCTCCATTCCTTGCTGAAAGTATGCCATGCCAAATGATAAAGCCTGTGGGACCCTATGTAGCTGAGGGCTATCACACACACGAGACAAGTCCGCGGCCCCCCTGGGATTGTCGAGGTGTCGACCACTAGCCCAGGAACCATGGCCTTAAGTTTTAAGAGCCCACACCATGTCGAAAACAAAAATAGACTGGAAGAAACCCAGCGACATGACAGGCAGCCTCACTTGGCTCGTCAGGCACAAGGTTCTCGAAACCGATCTCCGAAACTAAGGCAGCAATGCTCGGGAAACACCTCACCGACACCAGTTTGCAAAGCAATTTGGTGTCCCTGTACTAATGGAATGCCACCATGTGCCCCGGCCGCAGCGCTTTGACATTGTTGGTCGCCGGTCGCACTTCATGTGTCTTGCGGCCGGCTGCTATCAACCTGGCATATTCCTTTCGCAACGGAAAAGAGGCTTGGACAGCTGGACACTGCCCCTCTTCTCGACCACATTGCGGGCACCCAGGCGAGCAGCAATAGCAAGACATGCGGCTCTACAAACAGAGTGTTGTTTTGGTCATGTCTGTTTGTTCAAAAAATGTTCTTGACAACATGCCCGGTCTCTCACTGACCACGCCCCACCCCTGGAGCAGGAGCAAAACCAAACATATTTTTCAAACATGTCGACAATTTAAAGTTTAACGCAAGCGCCACCGAAGGGACACAACTTGTTCCCTATTGTTGTCCGCCTGAGGTTCCGCGCATTCGGGTTCCCTTTCGCCTTTGGGCCCCTGGGCGAAAACATGCAACGCCACCAACACAGGGAAACAACATGTGAAGCCCACGCTCACAATAGCACAGGACACGAAAGAGAACGGACCGGTGGGAAAAAAACCTGAAAAGGCCGAAAGCCAGCTGCCACTTGTTCATGTGGGTCCCTGTATGGGGTCCCTGTCTCCACTCGAGTCCTCTACACCCATTGGCCACATAGTCTCCGAAGCCCTTCATGATGTCAATGATGCACTACTCGGTGTCCATAACATCACTTCTTTCACCAGGCACCATTTTCACTACTTTTCGGACCACTACTTTGGAGCGCTCTCCCCCACCAAGCTCTGGGTTCACCCTATCAAAAGATTCCGGTCAGCAACCACCCCCACACCCCCTTAACTCACTCCGTTCACCCTAAAAGCTCAAGCCTTGCCTCCCGGCTGGCATTCGTAATGAAGCCCGAAAATCAAAACAAAACTTGAGCCACAAGGCCTTCTCCTACATCAACCTCAACCTTGCGAAGTAACACGTGAAGTGTCGAGTGAACCCTCGCGACAAGAATTGGGTTGCAACCAAAAAAGGCTTGTCCGCAAACCTCTCTCACACAGGAGCCTGGCAAGAGCGCAGACCCTCCCCATGCTCCAAACATGGCTCGGGCTCAAACATGAAAACCCAAAGACGTTTCGCGGCGACCGCTTTGAAAAACTGAAAGGGGAATCAATCCAGGCATGCGAATTCAAAAAACCCTGTCATGAGCCAGGCCTCCTCTCTCGAGTTGAAAACTTCGCCAGACTTTCCTGGAGGATGGTACCTGCAACCAAAAAAAGTCGCCACAAAGCCCTCTCCTACATGAAGTCGCCACGGCCCCCTATATCTGTAGCAAAACGCCATGTTGTGTTGTACTGTTCTTGTCATACTGCATGTCTAAACTCCTACTATGTTTACAAATAGAGCCTCCTTGTTCATACTTTACCTCTAGGTAAATGATATGTAGGGTGGGCCTCGTGGTGGATTTGTTACCACAGAAGTCTGTCAAGACTAGCCCAGGGATGGCTTTCTCCGAGAGAGAGATTTTGCAAGAACAATGTTCAAAGCGATCGTTTTGAAACACACATGTGAACAAGAAGCCAGCTGAGGAAATGGTGCTTTCAAAGCGACTGTTTTGAAACAATGTGTCCAAGGAAACCCATCACATGTTTGCCTACCCCGGTACCTAGCAGTCGCCCTGGCACCCAAAACCACGGAATCCACGGAACCCGGCGACCCACATGCAAAAAGGGGCACGGTGTCCAAGTTATTCTCACTGAGATTGGCGCCTTGTGGGACCAAAAAAGGTCGCCGTAAAGCCCTCTCCTATGTGAAGCGCAATCCTTGGTGCCTGGGCACTGACGAAACACAATGTTGTGTTGTATGGTTTTGTGATCCTGAATCCTGCGCGTCTAACATCGAAACTCCTTTGTTGACAAATCCGCCGACCCCACTCGTGGGGTGAGGCGTGACTGTCGATTAAGGCTAAGGCTATGATTAAGGCTAAGGTTAAGGCTAAGGCTATGATTAAGGCTATACCTCCCCTACCCCTCCGGAGCCTTGTTGCAGTGACGAAAAGTAGCCAAGATTTGCAAGATTTGTCCAAGATTTGTGTGAGATTTGTGCAAGATTTGTGCAGGAGTTGTCCAAGATTTGTGCAAGATTTTGCCAAATGTATTGGTTTGCTTCTTACTGGGGATTGGGGTACCCTCTCCCTAAATGGTCCCGGGCTCGAATCCTGGCCTGGTTGCGGCCTGGTCCCTGCCAGTGCCCTCGGCTTTTCCTAGATTTTGCAACCTTTTCCGCTGGGCTTCTTGGATTTTCAAAGGCTTTTGTAAGATTTACTCATGCCTTTCAGGCCTTTTGTGGAGTTTTTTCCAGCATTTTCTCTGGTTTTTCTAGGTAGTTCTGTGGTTGTCTAGGGGCTCCGTGTTGTTTTTTGGGTTCCCAGATTTTCAAAGAAACACGCTAACCCATTTTCCTAGATGTTTAAACGTTTTTCGCTGGATTTCAAGGATTTTCGATGGTTTTTGTAAGATTTACTCATGCCTTTCAAGCCTTTTGCAAGCGTTTTTCCATGATTTTCTCTGGTTCTTCTAGGTAGTTCTGTGGTTGTCTAGGGGCTCCATGTTGTTTTTGGGGTTCCCAGATTTTCAAAGAAAAACGCTAACCCATTTGCCGTGCTCTCTTCTGGCTACTTTGGTGATGCAGGAACAGATCATGTCTCTGGGGGTTCCATGTTGTATTTTGGGTTCCTAACCATTTGGCTGACCCCACTCATGGGATAAAGCGTCGCTGTTGATCTAGGAAAAAACCACGGGCGCTGGCACGGACCATTCCTGCCACATACACTTCCCTCGGGGTCGGCGGCTGCAGGCAATAGCCTGGTAAATACACCTCCTTATTTACAAACTACCTCTAGTCTAGGTAAATGATATGTAAGGGGGGGCCTCGTGGTGGATATGCAACCACAAAAATCTGTCAAGCCTAGCCCAGGGATGGCTCTTTCTCCGAGAGAGAGATTTTGAACAATGTTCAAAGCGATCAAGGGAAACACGCATGCGAACAAGAAGCCAGCTGAGGAAATAGCGCTTTCAAAGCGACCGTTTTGAAACAAGGTTTCCGATTCTTAAGGGGTCCTGACCCCCGCCAGTAAAGCGCTGGATGGCGACCCTGGCACCCAAAACCACAGAATGCAAAAAGGGGCACGGCGTCCAAGTTGTTCTCAATGAGATTGGCGCCTCATGACACGGCCAATGAAAAGAACATGTTATGGCCTGATGCGCTGCCAAATTCCAGCGCTAATTGTTTGATAGAACCGCGTAAGCTGAGACACACTCCCTTGTTTTCTGAATGACTACCACACCAGCAGCCGCAGTTAAGGAGCCCACCATTCCGAAGTTCCGCAGGGACACGGGGTCCTGGCAAGGAAAAACACTGGGGGATGGTAGAGCCGTTGTTCTGTTTTCTATTGGCTGTGGTAAATTGACCCTGGCTGGTACAGGAAAATGCCTTTCCCTGCATGACATTACAGCGCGACATCAACTGAAAAAGAACCCCAGCACACCCGCGCGCAGTAAAGCCTCGCAACCCACGCTTTTGGCGCGCCATAAGTTCCGGGGAGTGTCACACCAAGGGCGGAACTGACACTCACCGCGAGTGCTGACATGGGCTTTGCGTCGCCTAAGCTAGCGCATTTGGGGCTCGGGCGCATGGCGACAAATTTTTGGCAAATATGTTCCAACCACACATTTGGAGCGGTCAGGAAAAGTGTGCCAAGCCCTAGAGGGTCTAACTCATTTCCACGCGGGTATAGTATATGGTTCGCGAATAAGGGGTACTATGCATGGCACATTGCCAGGATAGTTTATTGTTGTTGGGACACGGAACCCCGAGAAGCAGCTGTCTCAAGAAGCGGCTGAGCGAGGTGTCCAGCAACAAAGGCCCAGGCCAGGAGCAACTGGACATTCATCAAACCTCCAGTAAAGCGGGCGCTCTAGCAGCTTTTACATCTGCACCCTGGGAACACTCACCTGTGCTCTGAACAGGCTAACACATACACATATGACCCCAGCTTCCCTTGTAGCAGGTACAAGTACAGGGAACTTCCGGCTTTCGAAAAGTCTCTGGATTGATCAATGAATCCGTATATTATACTGCGAGGTGAACACAGCTACTTACATGGTAGCCGAAAGTTTGCCTTCCGCTTTTTGGAGTGTCTTTCATGTGTTGCGTGGTGTTGTATGGTAAAAACAGGCGGGTAGTACATCTAAACATGCAAACTTCTTCTTGGACAACTAGCCTGACAGACAACCAGTGTTCCTCACTGCAGGCCCAGCTGCATGCAAAGGGCAGTTTCGGACTGCCTAAAACATGGTTGCGCTCGACCTTTCTTCCCAGTCACCTGGCGGCAAAAACCACGGCTACAGAGCAAATGTTCCCTGTGAGACCACACTGACTGTCAATCATGGTGTCTGGTAAAACAGGAAGAGCTTTCTAGTATACTGAGATGAACCTGCAATTGGAAAGTTCTTGTAAACTCTGTAGGTCAACAACAAACAGGGCATGATATCTCCCGCTTCTCGAGCAGTGGGAAAGAGCGTGGTATCTTTTCTGCTGCAACCAGGCTCCCTGACGTCCCGGACGGGACAGTTCAAAAAGATCCAGCTGAAAAGATTTCAGCCAGCCACACCAAACACGGCTCAGGCGAAGCCATCCCTTCGCGCCCGCTTCTCGGCTCTGGCCCTGATCAAATCATCTACAATTTTCTTTTTGCGCTCCACCGAGTGTTTCTCCTCCTCCAGTTCCTGCAATCGTGTCAGCAGTGTCAGGGCATCGTTCTGCAACGCTTGAAGCTCAAACTCATCCCTGGCACGGGGAGATGGGTGGACAGCAACAATCCAAACACAACAGGGTATTCTTTAGAAAGCTCAGCGATCGGTTTTGTTAAGCTGCGGACCACAAAAATAGCTTTAGTTATTACTTCCTTTAATCCTTTCTTGTGGCGGGCTTGATCGAAGCAAAGCGCAAACAATGAAGATAAGTCATATGGGGAAATCTGGACCTCGCCTTCCGCTGTTCAAAGCAGTGAGTGGCTGGGGGTCGCCAGCAGAAATTTCCATCATGCACACGCGCGTCGTGGCAAAAACAGCCAAGTCCAGCAAGAGCGGAAGAACGGCAGATCCCTGCCCAGGCCCGTTCACCAGCCAGTGGTCACAAAGTGTGCTCTCGAATCGTGTGATCTGAGTGAACTTCAGCACCTTTCAGGGAGGATGGCAGTGAGAAGCCGGAGCGAAAATTACCAGGGAAGCCAGAAACACTAAGACTATAGGAAGTGAAGAAAAGCCAGTCCCAAAGTCGTATCATGATACCTGACCTCTGTCTTCCGCAAGACTTCCGGCTTGACCTTGATCTCCATGACCTTGACTTGAAGTTTGGCATTCTTGCTTTGCAGCACTGCCGTGATAACGGCGGCGTGCTGCGAAGAAAACAGAATTGCCATTTGTTTGTAGACCTCCGGATTTGCATCCTTGGTGTTCGTGGCCATGAACTGTCCAACCTGGAGAGGAGCAAGACCACACTCGTCGCTTTCGGACTTGGACACAAGCATGTAGAGTGTCCAAGACGCCGTCTCCTCACTGGACTGCATGCTCTTCAGGACCGTCTCTTCTGTGGATGCCACCTTAGGCGCTCACATGCGCTCACCCTCTTTTCGCGTTCGCTTCGGCCGAATCTTGCCGCGTCAGCGAACGAGTGCAACAAGAACGCACGACCAATTTTCAACAAACCATGTATGAAAATACGCTGTTGCAAGGAACCAATGCCTAAGCATCAGTAGTTGAAAACCCACCTAATGTTGAGCCATCTCTTGGCGAAACTTTCCGCTCGCTAGTGTGCAAATAGATGCGTGCATGTGAAGGGTCAGCATATATACCTCTACATATATGGTAGATATGTGTGCAGTATTTGTAAAACGAAAGAGAGTACGATGCCCTGGAGGTGTGTTTTTTCAGTGTTTTTTTGCGTTTTTCTATGATTTTCAATAGATTTTCTATGTTTTCGTTGCATTCACCCATCTGGTACACATCACTTGTGCCCATAGCCTGCTGCCCCTTTGCCATGATCTTATCAACAGATTTCCTCATCAAGCTTTTAAACACATAGCTAAAGTCTGTATCTGTCAATTGCATCATAGCTGTCATCTTTGGAGGAATGATAGACTGATGGGCTGCATACATCTTCTTGTATGTATCATCGCTAAATGAAGCAGCAAAGCAATCCCTCTGATAGATGGATACTGGATACATCCTCCCTTGCTTTGCAATGACCCATGACATAAAGATATTGTCCTGACTGGAGGATGGTTGGGAATAAACATCATAGTGCTCCAACAAATGAGGATGACCCCTTCTGATCTTGACCCATTGCTCCAATGCCCTCCTGGCACTCTCTCCCTTCCTATGCAGCTTGATGTCTCCCAAATAGTTAAATGATTCATCCTCAATCCACCTGCCTTTGTCATCAGTGTAGTCCAATCTTGCATATTGCCCAGATACTATGAGCGCCCCCTTGCCCACATGTCCAATGGGGTCCTCATCAGGGTTGAAGAAATTGCTCACCAGCTGATGGGCCTCAAAGGTAATCCTCATCTTCTCAGTTGCTGAGTCCGTCATGATAGTCAAATGAGCTCTTCCCCCACCCTTTTGATCCTCAGTGGTCACCAATTGCCAATCTTGCTTCGTCTGATCATCCAATGCCTCAAGGTCCTCATTGGGTTCCTGTCTCATGGGCTTGTTGGTTCAGCTCCTCTTGAAGGTCCCTCCTAATCTTTTTGATGGTCTTCCCATGTGTCCTGGTCTCATGGCCTGCAAATACAGCCTTAGTTGATCCCTTTTTCACCCATACAGGAACCTGATCTGAGAATCCAAGCATACATTCAGGCTTTGCCGCAAATTCCTTCAGATCTTCATGGTGCATGGACACAAGGCTCATGATATAGTCATGGTGGTTCCATGCCAATTCTGCTGAAATCTGCTGCTCCTCATTGCTCAAGGGCGCCAACGCATTTGGAGTCATATGTTTGGCAACAATAGCATCCATAAGCATCTTGGCCCTCTTGTCCCTTTGCTTATGCCCCTCTTTGATGCTCTTCATTTGGGATTCAGCCCTTTCCAATTGATTGATACAAAGAATCTTCTGGGGCCCATCTTCCAGCTCATCCCTTTTCTCCTCAAGCTTGACTTTCTCCACTGATAGCAGCTGAAAATATTTCCATGCAAGATCCATCTTCTGCACCCCATGCCCATAACTCCTTTCCCTTTCCAACCATGTCTTAACCTCACCAACCAAGTGGGGGAATTGTTGCTTGGCACCCCCACCTGATGCCCTGACTCTCATGTGGTTCCCACCTGATGCTTTCTTCCCTTGCTCAATCCACTCCTTTGCGTTCTCTCATCTGCTGTTGTGCTTTGCTGATGCTTCAGAATCTCTGTCTCCCATTTGGACCTTTCAGCATAAATCCCCTTCAACACATGAGGTCTCATCAGGATTGTCCTATTCCATTTCCTTGCGCGTTTTCCTGTCTGATTCTTCCGTACGCTCTCCGTTTCGGGGGGGGGTCGGCCAAACAAAAATGGTGCTGCCTCAAATCAAGGCCACCAATTTGTTTTTTTTGGTCGACCCCCCCCCCTCTGGGAAACTCTGTGCGGTCCATGTCGGCGACGCTGGCGACATTGCGATGTCTATGCGATGTCTGCTACTGTGATGTGGCGCGTGATGTGACAGTATCCTTATACATTTTATCCTTAAATAAGAATACCTCCAGCACATAGATAGTAAATTCGTAAGAAGACTAGAACACTGGGAAAACAGACACCTCCACAACGTCGTGTTCTGGAGAAACGAAACACGCATGTATGTACATGTACATATAGTAAAATATGGGAATATCAACCTATACAAAGACGGGCCAAGGCACTTGCAATGTAGCTGGCCACCACTCGCAGGTGCAAATTGAAGTCTCCATCAGACCTAGCTGGGCCTCCCCTTCCATGTCGGGGCCGAAGTGACATTCATGCAGCTGCAAGGTGTCATTCAGCATCCGTAGTTTGTGCCCCTGCGTTGCCCCGCTCTCCGACAGAGAAACGGAAAGCAAAACCAAGCTCTCTGTGTACAGCTCTGCCGCAAGCTTCCGTGGCTGGCGTTTGTGCTGCATGGACACGGAAAGCCCCAGCTGAGGTGCTCGATTGCACATGCTCGCCTGTGTCTGGCCCGTTTCAGCCCCATGAGTTAAAATCACATGCGCAGACCTGCAGCTGAAACACCCAACATCCAACTATGTAGGCGTGAAAAGAGTGAGCGGGAGTAAGAAGCGTGTAGAAAATTTGAAGGCTGTATTTAAAATAACAATCGTGCATGATGTAAGCGGCCGAGGAGCCAACGCTGCCGACTCTGGGTCTGCAGAAAAGACAGGCCTCTTCATGCGAACTGGAATCTCTCTCTCATAGTCAGCCTTCATTTCCTGCCAGGCTTTAACCGGGATGGCTAAGAAGTATCTCAGCGCCATGGCAAAAGAATCCACGAAATTGAAAGGACAGGATGCCTGAGCGAAA